ATATATAGTAAATGGGGGCATTTAATTGGCCATATAGCCCTAGAGTCATACAAGTTATCTCATGTGTTTATAGAGTAATGCTTCTCAGCTGCATGAAAGTATGGGTTCTTAAAAAAAAAACCTCCGGCCTTCCTTTGAGTCTTACACAGTTGTACAAGTTGATATCCCGGGCTGAAATAGCTTCCTCTGACTTCACTGCACACTGTGAGCTCCTCACCATGTGCATTAGAAACTGAATGCGAATGTAGCGTGCCTGGGAACGCCCTCTCCTTCAGACTAGGTTTCAAGTACCATTCGCACTCCTACGGTCTTACAGTTCAAAAAAGGTATCTGTGGTGCTCAAGGAGAACGCACGGATGGCGCCGTGCACACACTGGCAGTCAATACAAGGATTTCACCGGCACACACTTAGAAATTAAAGTATAATTATGGCATTGATATATATAACATACTGATATACTGATATCATAGTGTCATATGGTGCTAACCTTTCGGGTCCTCACAGGGATCCTTCATCAGTGTCACTGTGTCGCTCTGACGAAGGATCCCTTTGAGTACCCGAAACGTTAGCACCATATATCGCTTCTCGGCCTTTTGGCTAAGATCAAGTGTAGTATCTGTTCTTATCAGTTGCCGGAGGGGAAAGGATGCTGCCACCTATGGAAAGGGGTGGATGCGTCCTAGTACCCTCTGACGTAAAGGTGGGTGTTGGATGGGGTTCGGTCCACTGCTAGTTGCGTCAGGCCCTGGGTGTCGGGTAGACCCTAGACAGTGGGAGGGCCCCTGAAGGCACTACCTTCTGATGTGAGCGGAGAACCACAAGGTCTGGCCGGAGGGTTGGGAGTCGGCAGAGCCCGTGGTGTTGTGCCCCCTGGGGGTGGCGTCCCAGGGGTGCTCAGGAAGTCACTTGGGTGTGGGATCCCACATGACTCACTGTGCACATGGACACGGCACCACATTGCATTTTCTGCACAACGCCTCCGAGACAGGCCTTATGGCTAGTCCGGGGCAATATTTTTGCACTCCGGCCCCTAGGGCCTGTCAGCGTGGTGCACAGGCACTCTTTATTTATTGCACCTCATGCACGATTGGCACTTTTTGTGTTTTTGTAAATTTTGAGCCACAGATTGCTTAGGGTGCAGGTTCCTTCGGGGCCTATTCCCGATGCTGGGGAGGAGGTTCTGTGCCCTAATATAGGGTTCTCTGCCTCCTCCCAACCAGGGGGTTTCTCTTCGGGAGAGCCCCCTACCTAGTACTATGTGGGACCTGTTCCGGCCGGTCCCCGAAGGATCGGGGTCCGCCAACCTTCGGGTTGGTGGACCAAAGTATCTCAACCCCTGTCAGGATCCTTGCGCCCCGGGGAGGTCGGGAATTGAGGTCCCTTCTTTATTGAAGGACCAAGCACCCTTGTGCACATTTTTGTGTGCTGTGATTTCACGGTTCACTTTTTTGTTCACAGGGGGAAGTTTGTTTTTCGATGCACGTTCCACGAGCTCTAAAACAAATTAGCACCATATGACACTTTGTGACGTTCTTCACTGAATAAATATATATGAATGCAATATTGATATTTGAATTTCTAAGTGTGTGCCGGTAAAATCCTTGTATTCTCTCCTTCATACTGGAACTCACCCATCAAGGCACTTTGATATTTGCATAACTCCTTCCAAAAGCCGCCCACTGCTTGCATCAGGGCTGAGGGCTCTTGAGAGGAGTACTGAGGCTGACTGTAGATCGCTTCCTGAACACATCACAGCACCCTGCCAGACCTTCCCGTCAGTCAAGATCTTCCTGCATTGCACAGAGAAGCACAGAGACCCAGGGATGACGTCAATGAGGTATGTGATGAGACCAGGTTTTATGAGTATGTTGATCAAGTGAGAAAGGAGGAACCAGGGAAAACATATGCAAATTAAACTTTAGCTTTAAACATCTTCAGCTTTACAGATTGGCTTGTTGAATGCGGCTGCTACTTATTATATCATGACCAAGATAAGTGAGAACCTTCACAGAGCTCATTACTCCCCCTGTCCTCGTTGGCTTGGGGTTGCCCTTTTTTGGCACTTCCCACAATGAATGAAAGATGACATCTGAATAGGTGCTATGAGCAACTGCTCCACTTACTCTCTTTCTCTCTTTCTCTCTTTCTCTCTCTCTCTCTCTCTCTCTCTCTCTCTCTCTCTCTCTCTCTCTCTCTCTTTTCTA